GCGCTGCGGGCGACGGATGACGCGATGGCTCCGACGCCGGGCTGGGGCGCAGAGGCGCCGGCGCTGGCCGGGCGGGCGGGCGGCTGGGCCGAGATGGGGGAGTGTATTTCCGGACCGGCAGAGTATCTGAGATTGGTTTGCCGAGTGATGCGCGCCATAAACAACGAAAGGTCCCTCGCCGTCCTCTCCGCAACTCCTTCTGCCCCTTCCCTTCGTCCCCTCGCCTCTCTCCTCGCCTAGCTCCCGCCCCCCGCCGGCCTTGTCGTTGTCGTTGTCGTTGTCGTCGTCGGATCCTCCATCCCCGACATGTTGTCAGCTCGTCCCATGCAGCCTCTTGCCATCTCCATACCCCCCTCCCTGCCACACTCGCCCACCCGCTCTCCCGTCCCCGACTCCTCCATCATCCCCTCGGCCGCAGCTGGCACCATTCCATCATCTCCACTATCGTCCGTCGTGAATCCTCCACAGCCCTCCACCCCTCCAGCACATACGCTGGTGGTTCCTTCTACGTCTATCCCCGCACAGCCTAGTAATACCCCAAATCACTCCGACACACGTAGCACAGATAGTGGTAATTCGAAGGAGCAGGTTCGTTTTTTCCTCTCCGCACATCCCTCGCCACTGCCACCCTCTTGCTATCTCCTTCAGCCACTAATAACTCGTCCCTTCCATGCCATCCCCTTCTTCGCCTCAGGCTCCACACCCCTCGAGACGTCCGTCTCGCTCCTTCCTGGCGACTGCCTTCCAGCGCCGCTCTCCCTCCCCCGTCCGCTCCCCTAATATCTCTGCAGACTGCTCTGTCGACAACGTCCCATCATCTGGCGGGTCCTCTCCCCGTTTCCCCTTCGCGCGGCGAGCTAGTCAGAACTATTCTGCGATGGCAGCCTCCCACTCCCATCCTCCGTCACCTCCACACGAATACTCCGATCGCGAACATCTTCCGTCAACTCCTTCATATAGCACACAGCCATCAACACCTAATCCATCCGCCCCAACGACCACCCCCGCTGCCAATAGCACTGGTAAGAACGCGAAGCACGCGCATGGGCCTTTGCATGACCTTAAACGCTTCCTTAATCACCATATACCCCATCCTCACTCTCATCAGAACAGTACCCATAGTACTGCTCCTTCGTCAGCCGTCGCTACACCGCCTCCAGAGCATTCACATCCCATAGCGGAACAGCGCCGCGGGCCAGACTTTGATCAGTCGTCTCTCCTGCACGCTGTGCCAGCCATTGCCACTCCGGACACGGTCGGCTTGATGTCGAGTGCTCCTGGCACACCCGGCAGTGTTCCCCACGATATTCTTGCTGACCATAGCAAGCTGCGCTTCTCGATTCGCCGGCGCGATAAAGAGAAGGACAAGAACGACGTGAAGGACAAGCAAAAGAGAGATGAACAAGAGAAGCTTGTGGCCAAGGAGTATCCCTCCAAAATGCATGTGGCCAAGACCCCATCTCCTGGCGCGTCGACGTCGACGGCTAGCAGCCAGCGTAGCTCTCGTTCACCCCCACACACGATGCACTCTGATACCAGCCCAAACGAATCAGGATCGGGTTCGCCCCCTTCGTCTGTGCCGAGTTCATCGCATATGTCGAAGCATTTTGCGGCTCCATCAGGACACTCTACGCCTGGACACGCTGCTCAATCGCTTTCCACGGCTACTCACGCGCATATGTCCAAGAAATATGGCAAATGGGGTCGCGTGCTGGGTAGCGGTGCGGGTGGAACCGTTCGCCTGATTAAAGGATCTAACAAGATGGGAGGGACGACCTTCGCCGTGAAGGAATTTAGGCCCAAGCGCCACGGCGAGAGTGAGAGGGAGTATCAGAAGAAGGTCACGGCAGAGTTTTGTGTTGGAAGCACACTCAAGCATCGAAACATCATCGAGACGGTTGATATTGTGACGGATCATGGCCACTATTATGAGGTATGTCAGCGTCTGCTTTGTGATCAGCATTTATGATCACTGACTGTATGCATAGGTCATGGAGTACGCACCCTATGATCTTTTCAGTGTCGTTATGTCGGGCAGTATGTCTCGACCAGAGATATATTGCGTCTTTCGTCAGATCTGTGACGGCGTGGAGTATCTGCATTCTCTTGGCCTCGCCCACCGCGACCTCAAGCTCGATAACTGCGTGATGACGACCGATAACGTCGTGAAGCTGATAGACTTCGGGACCGCTACCGTCTTCCACTATCCTGGGAAGAAAATGACTATGGCGACGGGTATTGTCGGCAGTGATCCATACCTCGCTCCGGAGGTACTGAGCGAGCAGGAGTACGACCCAAGGAAGACAGACGTATGGAGCGTTGCGATCATCTTCATGTGCATGGTGTTGAGGCGGTTCCCCTGGAAGATTCCAGACCCCAAGACGGACCCTAGCTTTAAAGCCTTCGTCCAGGCCCACCCCGACTTATCGGAGAAGCCGAAAGAGATGCCCCACAAGGTCGATGACTCGAGCAAGGCAATACCACCGACGTCGGCTGAATCGAGTGCTGCCCCATCCATTGCTCCGTCTGATGCGTCGACTGCGCCTTCTGTCAATGGCGAGAGTGGTGAGGCTGACTCATGTGAGCTCTGCCAGGCTTCCTTGCGCAGCTCGGATTCGTCCTCTGCTTCCGGGTCGGATGTGGATGTCACCGAGGCGGGTGAGAAGGAAAGGCGTCGACGAAGCTTGCGTAATCTTCCCCCGGGCGTGTTCTCCCATTCGACAGCCACTCTTCCCGCTGTGCTCCTGCCACACGTCGCAACTGAGTCTCAAGCCGACCAAGATCCTTCTGTGCTCACTTTTGCCCGTCCTGCTGACTCGACCGAATCTCTTCCTGCACCTCCGTCTCCGCGTATGTTCAGGAAGCAGCCTGCTAGCCAGTCCACTGGGAACACTTCGGCGACCCTCCATGCAGGGTCACATGAGGCGCTTGCTCCCGCGAAAGACGTGTTGCCAAGCTCGACTAAAGATGTCAAGTCCAAGGACTTCTCTCAAGGTCCCAGCAAGGAGGCGCAACTTAGAAAGGTCGAGGCTGTGCAGCAGAAGGTTACGGATGCACAGAGGCCCGATACTAGCGCGAGTACAGCGACCGTGAAGGCGCTCCAGAAGGAGCCGGCTGCTCGTCCTCGCCGTCGTGCTGATAGCAAAGCATCTGTGGCGACTTTCCACCAAGGCGGTGCGGAGTCTATCTTCAGGCTCCTCCCTCGTGAATCGCGCCCTGCGATGCGTCGGATGATGCACATCCAGCCATCGGCGCGTTGCACGCTTACAGATCTTCTATACGGCAAGGGCAAGTCAAACGACCTACTGTGTGGATGCAACTCGCACGCTCGCGATAGCCCGCGCTGCCAAGACCACGATCACAATCCTGAGGACGAGGATGACGGCGACTCATGGCTGCGTAGTATCATGTCGTGTTCGGTGCCCGATGTGCAGCCAAGTCACACGCACATCAAGGTCACAGTTGACGATAAGCAGAGCAAGAAGCGGTTTTTCTAGCCCGTACTGCGTGTCACCGTCTGTCGCATCCTCTGTTCTCGTTTTCGACACATTCGCTTGCACCGTATATATTCTATTATTCCCATCACCCGCACGACGCTCGTAGTTTATCTCTGTTCATAGAGTCCGATTGCTTGCTTCATCTTGTGCGGCGTCGGCGCATGAAGCACCCCCAGTGGCCGTCGCCGTTTCGCCATTCATGGCATTCAAACATAATCCTATCCTTTTGATGATTCAAACGTTGCTTTTTGCGGCCGTCATGATCGCCGTTGCACCGTCACGGATCGTTGCCACTTCCACTGATACATGGGTAAAACGCAAATGTTGAGTATGTTTACGATAGTGAAGATAGAGAGGCTTGTGTAATTATATGCATACATCTCAATGAAATGCGAAGGACTTTCTCTCATACAGATGACGAAGGTTGACATGATTACAAGCAGTGCGAGCATTGCGAGAGTATATCAGATTTCGAGAACTAGATACGTCACAGCTCGTCTCGTCGTTGGCGTCTAGGCTCTTCGCCCTCCTCGTCTGCACCCTGTTTTGCGTCCGATGTCCGCTTCGGCCGACTCTTGTCCTTCTCACCTTGTATATCGTACCCTGCTGCACGAAGGATGTCGGCAATAGACTGCCCGCTAAGCGCGATGGTGTCCCCGTCGTCGTCTCCTACCTCAACATCTGCGTCGATGAACTGGATTACAAGTTCCTCCCCGTCAGCGAGCTGCTCCACGAAGATTTCCGGGCCCGTCCCCGCCTGCAGGTCGTCGCGTGCGAGTAAGCGCTCTAGGGCTTTGCGTATAAGGTTGCCGTGGTTCTTTAAGGGTGCGGACACGTCACCATCAGTGGACGTTTCTGCAGGAGGGGGAGCGATAATGGGCTTCGCTCGTTTTGGCTTCCTTAGTGGCTGATCCGCCGGGGGGAGTGTGCGATCCGCCCGCTCATAATCGTCGGCACTAAGGATCTCCCTGCACCGGATATACGCCTCCTCGCGCGCGTCGAGGCGCGACTTGAAGCCCGGCTCGCCACACAGTCGCGGTGTCGCTATGTGCAGCACGTAGTGGCACGTCTGGGTCTCCTTTACAAAGAGGATTGTATCTGTCATCGTCATAGAGCAATGGAACTGACAAATCATACAATGTCAGCAATCAAATGTGGTTCCCGAAAAAAAGACGACAGACCTGAACCTCGATTTCACGCCTCCCGCCTGTCTTGTCGCAGAATGTGCCATCCCCCCAGCGCTGCACAAGATAGTGGGATCCGGCGCCACGGGCGAGTTCCAGGTTAGCTGCTATGGCTGCCTCTTCCGCGACTGTCAAGTCAGCGCCCGCTTCCAAGCTGGGAGGTGCTTGCCCAAGCGTATAAGATTCCCACTTTGACAGGTTTACGGTCAACTTCCCAGTCGAAAATGGCAGCATGTATTCACCTCTGTGTCTTCTTCCGGCTTATATTCGCCTAAGGCAAGAAAACGAATTGATATGGGTTTTTCAGTTTCACCAGGAGCGCAGCACTTACCTGGTCGGTGAGGCTGCTTTTGTGGCAACTCATGGAATTGGCGGACGTGCATGTTGTGACAATAAGAGTAGGTGAACCAACCCTGCTTGTGCTGTCGAGTCCGTTGGGTCTATGTATCAACACAGTTGCATCAAAAGTCGTGAAACTCACGTATAAGCAAGTCCCGGTAAGAGGCTGTAATAGCGACCAACTGTGCACGGGTGTCAGGCCTGTGGAGGAATTTTCCTCTGCCAGGGCCCCAGTGTCTTCAGGCGGCGGGGGGATGAGGCACATATATGAGAGTTGGGATCCCAGCTTCATGTGTTCCAGTGTGTGATTAGTTGCAAGAGGGGAAGCTGACTGCACAAGGGACTGGTCAATGGCACAACTCAGACAGGCGGTCTCAAAGCGCTTTACAGACAGGAGATGCGGCGGAAGCCTGCTGGTCACTGCTGCCTTCGATGGCTTTCAGCTGGGGGATGTCAAGTTGGGCATCTTTCCACGGCTGGTCGAGAAACTCAAGCATGCCACCCTGGAGGCCTTCGCGCAGCCATCGGTCAGCAGTCTCGTTGAGGACGGGCAGGCCGTTGAGGAAGGTGACACGATATTTTGGATATGCATAGGGATCGTCTGGGAGAGTGTGATGGAGACGTGCTGCGACAAGCAGGGCTAGGGAGAGAGGGACGAGGGACGAGTGAGCACGCATAGAGGCAAGGTTGCCACCGACTGGGACCACGTGGAGGGCTGGAGGGACGTTGTGGCGCATTTCTGTCGGAGATTCATCGGCAAGGGGTTGAAACTCCGAGAAGAGAGCCGATTTTGGGAGGTGCATATGGCGCAATTGGACGCTGATCAGAAGACGTTGACCGAAATGAGAGATCATGCCGGCAAGCTCTCGTTTGTCCACGTCTCAGGCTGGCATTTCCCCAGTTAATGTCCATTTAATTTCTCGTTTGGGCGGGGCGCGCACTCACGGGGTGGTAGGTTGGCGTACCCGCGCGAGCAGCAGAGCGACATTTCATGTGAGCCGGAGGGGAATTATGGAATGGTTATCTGATTCTAATGTTCTCAGTGGGCAGATCAAACAATTCCTGACTAACAAAGTCCGCCGATTGAAGGGTTCCATAATTGTTCCTGGCCCAGGTGGGTGATTATCTATCTCTCTGCCCAATCGCGGACCCTAGAACGAGAATTCCTCATGTGCGGGACAAGGGTCGAGGAAGGGCGGCTGAGCTCGCCTAGCGGATGGACAGAATTACGTACAATTTCCCTGTGAATCTGGTATATTCATCGAAGTCGTGATTCTCAGAGATAATAACCGTCTGTTTTGGAATTATTGCACGCGCGAGAACTCTAATAGGGGAATTGCTCGTTAAAACGAGGGTACAGTACGCTTGTCGCGCTTTTCTCCTTCCCCTCATCTTCCCTATCTCCCCCCGCCCAGCAAGCCCCTGCTACCATGTCTGCCTCACCTCCGCAGGAGGATCCGGCGGAGGAGACCAAACTCGACGAGCTGGAGGGGACTCCTGCCGATGGAGAGCAAGGTCAGCTACTTTCCAACTCCGGCTCATCCCTTTCGCAGCAAGCGCCGGATGTACGTTGACCGTTCTGTGATTTTCCTCCAAACACCAGAGCAGGACCAAGAGCCAGAGCCAGAGCCAGAGGCTCCCGTTAAGCGAAAGCGTGGACGCCCCCCCGGCAGCAAGAATAAGAAAGCCGTCGCTGCCGCGGCAGGGGACACCGCAGGGTCATCGACAGGCGCGGGGACATCGTCTGATCCCCCCAAGAGACCACGAGGCAGGCCTCCCAAGGTTCGTTGTCATCGATGCTCCTGAGCAATTGTCCCTTAAGTCCTGACCACATTCCGCAGCGGAAGCCAGACGATGCGTCTGCTGATCCGCCGATGAAACGAAAGAGAGGTCGTCCCCCTAAACCCAAGCCCGAAACCACAGTTGAAGATGCTACCGGCGATGGGGAGGTGGCTGACGCTCCTGCGACTAGCAGCGAGCCCAAGAGGAAGCGAGGTCGACCTCGCAAGAATCCCGCGTCTTGATCAGGGCGTGTAGATGCTGTTTGGACTCGCGATATCACCCCCCTGGTGGCCGAAAGCAATCTGCGTTGTCTATCCGACCTCGCCTAGCATGTGTACACCACCCACGATCTTTATATCCAATTGTTCGTTCCCCTCGTTAAGCTCTGTGTTTCTGTGTCACGTATTTTCTAGGTGTTTCCTTATTCTCTGCCCAATCTCACGTAGGTCATGTATTGGCGGCCGCATCCCTCGCAGGATTGCGATATCGTTGAACAAATGTAGCTACGATTACTTGCAGATACCACGAATTCTCTTCTCACGAGACAAAAGCATGCGTATATTTGCTGAGCGATACAGTCCGCCACGACGTGGGTTTGGGGCGCATTACGAGACGCATAATCACCGCTGGCAATTTCCCAAAATATGGGATGGATGATCCTGACCTGACATACAGGAATGTAATATATTTGGGCAGCCGCCCAGAATATGGCTCATGATTGGGTACTGTCTGGCAGGTATGATAGCACCGAGGGACAAACATTTCTCACCCTGTGTTGTGTGGATGTATCAATCCGAGACGGCGTAATATTGTTATGGTCGTTATGCCGACCGCAGAAACTGCAATCAGAGCACTCGCCCAACCAGTGACCTCTAAAATCCGATGTTCCCTGGAAGCGATGCGGCGCGCAGTGGAATAGCTAATATCCGGGCGGAAAGTCACCATGGTGTAGAGCGGAAGCCAAGCGGAGGGAGTGCTTGAAGGGAAAGCCTCGCGAGACAATGTCGGTCGAAGTGACGTGGATGCCACTAGCTTTGCGGAAATGGTGTACAAGATATTATCCAGGGCCCTGCGAAATAGGAAACCCGGTGTGACCACGGAGTGTCGCATTTCCACGCTGACATTAGGCCGAGGCCGCAATCAATCAGTTCCGCGTTCTAGATTGCCGGATAATTAATGCGTACTAGTTATCCATTGCTAGTTCGCAAATGGAGACGAGGTCTTCGTGTCTGCTTTCCGTATACCGAGCAAGAGCTCTTGCTAAAGAGCTATCTTCTCCGCCATTAGCTAGGGAAGCGGGATTCACTCCTTCGGCGCGAAGTAAAATGTCTAGAACGCGGACGTCTTCTAGTCCGCAGTTTAGCCCCTGTCCATAGAAGGGCACCATTGCATGGGCGGCATCGCCAAGGATTATGGCCCGATCCTTGTAATGATATGGTGTTGCCTTGTAATATTCCAGCCAAGCGTTTAAAGGGCGTCAATACATCCCGCAGAACACTTAATAAATCACAGGAAGATACACACGCACCTTTACTGACATGAGCGAACTTCGTGGATTCTGTTGAAAGTCGTGCAGCAACGCCTCCTCTCCGATCAGCGGCAAAGCATCACTAAAATGCGCCTTGAAAAATTTTATGATGGCCCCAGGCGTTTCAAACCGATCGAACTCTGCAGTAGGCGCGAATAGGGTACAAGTAAATGACTTATCCTACGTAGGCCCAATGATTTCAGTTCGTCCCCCGCAGCGGAAAAGGGATGACCGGTATTAATTCCTCACCTTGTTCGGCAGAGCTATAAGCATGAACGTGTGGCGCGGCCAAATATGCAAATGGTTCGGATCCAGCAGATACGTGGGTTCACCGCCGACAACCGGTCCTGCGGGCATTTTAAGCTCGAGATAGTCATGAGGGATATACTCTTGCTGGTAATCCATCCTGCAGATAAAACGTAAACATTAACAAAACTATCACATGTCGCGGAAAGTGTGCCGAATAAGAAGTTGTGAGAGTATCTTCAAATAGGGAAATGGTGCAGGAACGTACCGAATCACTCTCATCAGCTGACCCCGAACAATCGAATATGACCCGTCTGCACCCACGCAGAAGTCGAATGGAATTTCGAGGTCCCTTTCCGTGTCTACTTCTCGGACGACCATTATTCTCTCATCAAAATCTATTGATGCAACTTTGTGTTTGAAAAGCACGCGAATATTGGGAATATCCAGCGCTTCTGTCAGAAGGTTTTCATTCATGAATGCGCGGCCAATGGAATTGATGCACTGGTCGAGGCGATAAATATGCCACGAGATATCGCATGTGAATAAGAGACCGACATTAAGCCCACGGATAGGAGGAGCGCACCTGGCCATCCTTGTCGTATAACTGGCTTTCCTGACTTCCACTGACGTGGTGAATCATTCTACCACGCATGGGAATGACGGTTTTGAGGAATCGGCCGGCCGCATTTGGATGGATAGCTTCTATAGCCGCGATTCCCCGCGCGGAAATGGCCAGATTAATGGAGCGCTGCTGAGCGGCAGCCTTGGAGGATGGCAAACGCATGTCTAACATTTAAGGCTTTTGAAAGACCACACGAGACAGACACGGGCTCAGCCTTACCTGGGCGACGTTCGTATATTTCGACGGACCAACCCATCTTGGCGAGGGAGATGGCAGATAGACATCCTACAGGACCTGCGCCGACGACAACAGCTTTTCGGGGAGTCGCTTTGGCAGCCATGGAAGCTCAGAAAGCGTCGGTTATCTACAGCCCTAGGTAAGCGGTGAGGGGTCCAAATGGGTCAGAAATGTCGTGGCCTTGGCCAGGATAATGTAATGAGGACAAACACCGAGCCTTACGATGTCGTTCTCGCTTAACACTACCGTAACGCAAGATGCGCAGAAGATGATAAGCACGAAAAGTAAAGAGACCGTAACGTTGTCCAATGATGGGAATCGAGGACAGGGTTTACTATTTGTGTCTTGTTCGTAGAGTGTGATCAGTGGCTACTTGTGATGAGGTGACAAGAACCGTGGATGCACGTCGCAAGCAGGATGGCCAGAGCCGAAGGATTCCGGCCGACCCTAGATTGGGGTTGCGGACCTAATCTGGCCAATCTCGATTTCGATTGACCAATTCGGTTTCAGCATCGGACGCCATCAATGGTCCACTCTCCCATCGACCACCCTCGCAGTGCGACTCAGCAACGTCAACCCTCAACGCCTCCTGCTTCATCTTGAATAAACCTTAGTAAAAACAAATATCTTCCACATTTGAGCCTTTCGACGTGCCCCAAGAGTGGTCCCGCGCCATTTAGCTCATGGCTACCTCAGATTCTTCTCGATCTGGTGCCACAAGCCATCGTAACACGCACTTGTCATCGTGGCGCCTCAAGATTCCGATTATTCCCTTTGCACACTACCGTAGGCTCTCTCGACTTATAGCCATGACAGGAGATCCTACACAATCACAGTCGTGACCAGCTGCACAGATGTTTTTGATATTCTGATGACACCCACCCTTGGGCTTCAATGGACAGATGGCCTGGCGCAGACCAGAACAAAGGTGGTATTTGTGCTGCCAGGTGACACAATCTTACTACAATGCATTCTGTAAGCCGCCGAGAGATGACAGGTCTCCCGGCGGCTACACGCCGGCCTTGGTCCTGAGCCAGCTATGCAACACACACCGTAAAGACTCGGCCATGTCCGAGCAATAGATATATATTATAGCAGCTAAATGAAGTTCGTCGGTGCCGTCATAGGAATGCGGAACAACCTTAAATATGTCGTAGTAAATCCTTCAGGTTCCAAATCGTAGCACCCTGGCGAACTCGGGTCGTGGTCGAAATGAAACCCCCCAACTCTGGAATATCACTGCCTGGAAATATACCTATACTCTGAGAGGGCGGTCGTCTGCTCAGGGATATGTGCGCATTTTCTCTGTGGCCTGCCATCTCCTGCTATGTTTTCCCTCGGCTCCGGACCCTAAGCTCACGCCGCACGGCAAACACTTCGGGGCGTGCGAAGTGCATATCGGCCATTGCCGAAAGTTGGCCGAGCCGGCATCTCGTCTTGGCCGCCGCTGGTCTGCTCGCTCATGCTCTCTTAGCGGACGCTGCGCATCCTCTTCAGTCCACTCAGAATCTTTGTACTCCATTTCTACAGGCCGAGAAGCGCTTCCACAAGATGACCAAGAAATCAGTAACGCGAAAGCGGGGATCCATTGACGTTGTGGACGCCAAGGTGGCTGTGGATCTCGCAACAGCGCAGAGTTATTCCGAGAATGTCTTTCTTTTTGTACCTAATCTCATCGGCAAGTCGAGCAGTTCAAGGAGAACTGTCTATGTTTGAGTCTGACGTATGTGTTGCGCAGGGTACTCACGAATCATTCTTGCTGGCGTTGCCCTGTACTTCATGAGCTATCATCCGATATATTGCACACTAGCTTATGGAATATCCTGCCTCCTGGACGCCGCAGATGGACATGCTGCTAGAGCTTTGGGACAGACATCGAAGTTCGGAGCGGTTTTGGACATGGTTACTGACCGGTACGTTCTTCTACTGCTGTTTCCTGCTAGCTTCCTCCGTACTGAAATATATACAGCTGTACAACGTCCAGTCTCTTGTGTTATCTCTCCTCAGCATACCCAGATTATGCACTGGTTTTCCAATTCCTGATCACCTTGGATTTCAGCAGTCATTACATGCACATGTACAGGTTTGTAACGCTCTTCGCCGCACCTCACCGCCTGGCCTAACTATGTTCGTTCAGCTCTCTAGTAACCGGCTCTCGTAGTCATAAAACAGTAGATAGCGACGTGAGCCGAATTCTCAAATTGTACTATGATTCCGTAAGTTTTTGCCGCTGTTGTCTGATTTCTCTGCTCACCACGCACATATAGCGAACCCTGTTTGTTATGTGCGCGGGCAACGAAATGTTTTTTGTTGCGTTATACCTCATGAAGTGGGTGCATACACCATTGTCGATCTCATTGGGGAGGGATATGGGTATTCTTGCCGCCTGCACATGGGCGGAGACCATGGCACTCGTTTGCTTCCCTATCTGCGCCGTCAAAAATTTCGTTAATATTGTCCAGTTGTGGAAAGCGTCCAAAATATTGGTAGGGGTAGACTTGGCTGAACGGGCGAAGGCAAGGGAAGATGATGCACACCGGGCGAAGAAGACTTGATGACTATGTATCGTTACTTGCTAACCCGTGCTATCTGTTCCCACTGCGGTTCATCTTAGACTGCCTTATCCCATCGTTATGATATCATAGGCTCTCTTGTAATTTACCCAACGGTTTCTAACTAGCTGCTACGGGACTTTTGTCTAATACACTTTGCTGGGCTGTGCACTCTGGCCGCGACTGTTTCCCATCGCCTTCAGTCAAACGAACTTGTATATTTCGGTCACGCGAGGGAGGCGCGCGTTTTCACTCGGGTGGCTGCTCGACTCTGCCCTGTTTGTTACTCAGCTCGACACGGTATCCCTTCGTTGTTGTCGTCGCACGAGACGGTCTTCAAGTTCCTTGAATGCGGGCTCACATTCTTTCACGTCGGGCCCGGTCGCTGGTAAAGACTCAGCCTATCCGCCATCGGGCACTGCTCTCATCCACTCACGCCCTCCGTTATCCTCGCAAAGACCATTCAGGTTCATCGCAGGCAACACCTCGGATATCAAGACGTTCATCGTCTTCCATAACCCCACCTCCTACGGAACCTGACGAAGCTGTATCCCCCTCAGCATCTCCCTCAGCTTCGGAACCTCCGCCTGAAGATGCAAATGACAAGCCGAAGCGCAGAACAAGAGTGTCAACGGCATCCAAAGACACTGACGCGTCTCCTTCACTTCCCACTGGGTTAGATATTCTATGGATACCTGAAGATGATCCGGACTCGCCTCACAGCCATGCACTACCTCCCCCAGAAATATTCGAAGAGATTTTGCATAATTTGCATATCACTCTACATCCTCAGACACAACATAAAGCTGCTTATGCTTCGGCTTCAGGATCTCTAATAGAACCCACTTTTGCTATGTACTGTCCAATAGAAGGTGGAGACATATATGTGGATGAGACTGTCCGCGAGCTTGCGCGTCAGACGGGCGCAGAAGTCGTTGTCTTGGATGCTGCACAGCTCGCCGCCGGTGCTTGCGGACAATTTGGCAAGGGTGATGTGACATCCTTCTTGGCCATGTGCATTATGAACTAACGATCATACTTATATAGCTGCTTCTGTGCTCCAGCTTCCGAACAACCCGCTGCATGTATCTGCGAACACCTCTTTGTCAAGCCGAAATAATGCTCGACTTCCTTCATACGATGAGGATGACTGGGATGATTCTCCTGTCATAATGCCGTCCCGCATGACTCTGCAGGTATTCTCACCGGTGCCCACCCGGCACGCTCGGACAGTCTTGGCTTCGCCTCCAAGAGCCGGCTCGATGTCAAAACTCAAAGCATTCTTTGACGAGATTATTAACATCACTGCGGAATCGAGTGTGCCGGAATCTTCGCCGGTACCCTCGTCACGGCGAAAACCAAGGATTGTCTATGTCCGTGACTTTGGGACTCTCGCGCCATCATCTGCAACATGGTATCCTGCCCTTCTAGCTGCTGTTCGTCAGCGGCGTCAAGGTGCAATCTCACGGCCTACGTCCCCAGTCGTGAACCCGACGACCATCATATTTGGAATCACACCTTCTGTTATCACGCCTGGTTCTACGCCGAGCTCCGACCCGAATCACCAAGGATTTGTGAATCTGGCAATCCCTCGGTCTGCTTCTGCTCCTGTCAATATTCCAAGCAAGCTGCCCAAATCAGAGTACAGCGAAGATCCATCTAGTGATAAGGCTCGAGAGAAACGTCTTATGAGTCGATTGAAACAATGGTCGCAAGGCGACGCTGCATCTCATGATATACCACAGCTCGCCAATACTGATGATTATGATGACGCTAGCAGTAGCAAAGGTGCACCTGAGATTGTCCTGGTTGGTGGGTCTGAGGGTATCGGAGGTCTGCCCTCAATGCTTAGTTCGGCACTGTCTACCGCAGCATCCTCCCGAGGTCGTAGTGGACCGTCCGGCTCCGGTAACAACAGACAGTTCTTCCGCACTTCACTCGTGATTCCCAATGTACGGACTCCGTCTCTTGAAAGATCCACCAGGATGGCTAGAAGGCGGGAGATTAACGAGCTGATCATGCGGATGGCAGTTGCCGCAGTCGGTGGCGAGCTGGGCAAAATGGAACCCATTACGACCAGTGATATATCAGAGATAGAGACTGAGCAGACAGATCTTGTCAAGAAGGAGAAACGTTTATGGGAAGACTGGGGCAAGGCCGTGGAGCCTTGGTCGACTGTCCGACGTATTGCGGATCGAGCTGTTGGCAAGACTATGGCTTCCACTCAAACTCAAAGTCTCTTGAACCGATCGCTCGACGCTACTCCGATAGTATGGTCTTCCATTTACGAAGCTTGGTCCACAGATAGGACGGCTCAAGACTTGTGGAAGTCGATGCTCTTGGAATCCTCGTCTAAACCTCATCGCGAACATGTTGTGGGCGAGGAGGGGAAAAACAGCGAGGAAGAAGATGAACCGAGTATCGATGAATTGATCGAACGTATTAAGCGCGATCCTGAGCTTGACCATCATGAAGCGAGGTTACTAGGAAGCATTGTTGATACTAGTGAGTATTGCCTCCGGTTTACCGATAATCACAACTTACATGCCCCTAGAATCGCTGTCAACAACGTTCGGCCAAGTGCATTTACCAGAGCACACTATTGATTCCGTGCGGACAATTGTGTCTCTGCCCCTTTTACATCCGGGGGCATTTGACCATGGCCTCTTGAAGGAACATGCTATGACTGGCTGCCTCCTGTTCGGCCCTCCTGGAACAGGTAAGACTTTAGTTGTAAGGGCAATCGCCAAAGAGGCCGGGTGTAGAATGCTGGCTATCATGCCTTCAGACGTTATGGACATGGTGAGTCACTTTCTCTCGAATCCAGTAGGCGGCATACCAACCAAATATTCAGTACGTTGGTGAAGGAGAAAAGCTCGTGAGGGCTGTCTTCTCACTTGCTCGCCGACTGTCACCCTGTGTTGTTTTTATTGATGAGCTTGACGCTCTCTTTGGTGCTCGTATGTCCCGTGAGACGGGCGGTGCCATCGCGCATCGGGGTGTTATTACCGAGTTTATGCAAGAAATGGACGGTTTAAAGTCCTCTAAGAACAATGTCATCGTAATTGGCGCGACTAATCGGCCTTTTGATCTTGACGACGCTGTTCTTCGTCGACTCCCGCGTAGACTTCTGGTAGATTTACCGGGTGAAAGGGAACGTGAAGGTAGTGTGATTACTGCGAAACCTTTGCGCTTACTGACCAAGCGTCCACAGAAATACTGAAAATTCTTCTCCGTGATGAGACCCTTTCTTCTGATATCGATCTCAAAGTCCTCGCAAAGAGGGCAGAGAGCTTTTCAGGATCGGATCTCAAGCGTAAGTGAATTTGTTTTGGACTTCGAATTGTTATTGATATATCAAATATAGATCTATGCGTGGCCGCCGTGTTGGATGCTGTAAAGGAACGCGTTGAAGTACCATGGCGTTCAATGCCCCTTACTGTACTGCCTGATCAAAATTCGCCTACTGCCTCTGTTCCGGACGATAAATCTGTGGAGGACTCTAGCTCTGAAAATGTTGCTGCAGCTGGGGATTCTCAGGTCCTTACAATTAAACCAGAACCCACGACACCTTCCTATTCACGAACAGTCGCTTGGCGTAATTTCGAAAAGGCTCTGAAGGAGATCACACCCTCCGCTTCGGAGTCGCTTGGCAGTCTTGCGGATTTGCGGAAGTGGAATGAGGAGTTTGGTGAAGGCCGAAAGCAACGGAGACAACTCATGTGGGGAAAAGGTAGATTTGGGTTCACAATACAGCCTCCAGACAATCAGGATGCGGGCAGAGTGGCAGCACCAACGACATCTTATGATAGTTCTATCGATACAGTAGATTAATGCATACGTGATATGGTGTTATCATAGTGCATATAGATGAGTTCAGGTTGTATAATGAACAGACGGCTCATCGCCGGCGGACAATACGCCGTTGTGCTCTGGGAGGTGGTGTAGCTTCTTCTTCATCGACATTTATACTCGCTCCGTTAGTATGTGTCTGGGTAGGCTGCGACATATCCATATCCATCTCATCCTCGCTTTCGTCGCTTTCTGTGGTAGCTGGCCTTGTGCGCCGCTTGCTTTGCTCTTGTCCAGTCTTGAACGCTTCCTCCCCGATTGGCAATAATTTGCGAAGATTCGCGTCGCTAGACCAATTCACACTGCAAGCAGGGCAAATCTGCTTTTGTCGCTTGTACTTGGCGTAACAATGGGTGTGCAATCGCGCCTTGCAGTTTGCAGTATAACAAGCAATTCCCTCAGTTACAGTCTGTTAAGTAGCAATGCTTGTCAAAAACGCGAGTTGATAGAGGAGCAATGATGTATTACCTCTTCGCAGAGGGTGCACTCAAGAAGTTCGTCTGGGAAATTGTTCCTCAAATATGATTCAAGTTCGATCAGGGTCCGTAATGACAGAGAGTATCGCCCATGCCTTCAAGGAGAGAAAGATTAATGCATTCTGAATGTGAAAACAACGTTCGCACGTACTTGCTCTTAGTGAGCCAACCATTTGCAACAAAACTACTTAATACAATCTCGGCTTGAGACTTGGTCATGTTAATTTTCAGTGCCCCGACCTCTCTCAGGGCAGCCAGGGAAGTCACCGAGTAGGACTCGTGAGGCGCAAGCATAATTTGTTCAACCTAAGATATAAACGATGTGCATGAACTATCACGCGAGGAACTGATTTTTTACTCACTACTGCTTTGAAGTACGTAATTTCAGTGGCAGTATAGTCAGTCGCCACTTGAGCCACATCATCACTCTTGGCATTGACCTAATCAAATCACTATTCATGATTTAATGGTCTACGCAAGACCTGAGTATTTAACATACTAGCATGCAGATCTCCTGGCCATTGGATTGGACGTGCGTTGTCTTGATTGCCAAGTGCAATGGATCAAGGGTGTCATTCACTCCTTGAAGAAAAGTGTCCCAAGAGGCTCGATCGTTTGAAAATGGGATGTCAACGACATCATTGGCACCTATTCGACGTTTGTCAGGTTTGATTACAACGAGAAACGCATATGATTACCCTTGACCGCGTCCACACACTTTTCCCAAATTTTGAGTGCGAGAGTCTGAGATACGACCCTGCGAGACATTATCGCTTGAAGAAATAGGCGTTGTACATCGTTGGAAGAAACCATGATAAATGCACTTGAGTAACACAGATTGAGACGCGTCGCGACGCGTCTCAGCGCGTCGAAAGTGATTGCTTAGATAAGCCTACAACATCTGCTTACTTGGAGTAATTGAAGGAATCCGACGTGAATATTAAACCATTATTATTGTGACCGCATTAATAGTATGCGAACAACCTGCGAGCACTTCCCATCCGTCTCGTAACATTTCAATATCGTAGCTAGACGTGGCGTTCATCAATGCGCACAAGGACAAACCTTCATATCTTTGGCACGCGCAATGTCTTGCTGACCATAGCGGCCGCCCATAAAGCGGGGACGATACACACCAAATGAATATCTCCGTCCCCGCCCTTTGAACCCCACAAAGTAACAGTACCCATTGGAATACCGTCCTTTCCTTCTATCCACCCTTTGCTCGTCCAAAATGTGAGGACTGCAACAAGAACCAACGACGAAGGGATGGGCAGACCCTCGAAGTATTGCGCCTTCCCTTTTGCGTCTTTTGGAACGAGAGCTACTGTTGCATTGAATCGAGCGAGGCGAGCAAGGCCGCAACATATGAATCCTGTGAGAACGACCGTGTCCAGGTATGTTCTGAGGCCTACCGCAAAGGCGAGGAGAGCCGGCGCAACGCCAAAAGATATCTTCGTTGGCCCAATGATTCAATACAAAAGCATCGTGTGACTATATGACAATGCTCACCAAGTCTGCAAGACTGTCAAGCTCTTGCCCGAGCATGCTGCTTTCGTTTCGCCACCTTGCCACCTTCCCATCCAAGAAATCGAACATCAACCCAGCATAGGGGAAGAACAGCGCGGACCACAAGTAGTCTTCGTCTTTGGTGACAAGGTACTTGGCCGACATGAACATGGAGAACGATGCGCAAATGCCGTTCGCAATGGTGACTAGATCAGCCAGTCGGAAACTCCTATTAAGAGTCAAGCCAAAGCGTAACAATACGCATTCATTTTTCAGCGCGTGAGCATCCTGTAGTATGATACAAGCTGGCGGGCAACCGTACCTGACCATGGAGAAGTGTCCTTCCGTATATTCGTATTGTCTTAATGCTGCAGCTTTACTCTCTTCCATGGAGTGAACATCTGCAGTGTTACTTTTTGTCTTTCTCTGGCTCATGCTGAATTTGGCGGACGTGATAGGGAGAAAATGAGGGCAGGTGGAGACGACTAAGGCTATGGATGCGCGTGCACATGCACATGTTGCAGGGCGCCACGAACCGCGCTGCAGCGAGGTCTAGATCTGTCTACTTATAATTACACTGGATAGTAATGGCCACATCATAATACATGCCGGCTATCAGAATAGTACAGACGAGATGGGGGGCGTTGAAGCACAACTACAGTAGCTATATCGATTAAAATTGTACGAACTCCAGCCTCACTGCGTATATTCAGGTTGGTCAACCCATTATGATATCTCCGTCATCTTCTCTCTTCACTCCGTCACTCCCTCTTTCGAGTTCTCTGCTTCTGGCAGCATATTGGTTTGGGTGTGTGACACTTTCTCCGGCGCCAACACCCTCTCCCTTCTTGACCCCTTTACTGCCATGGGTTATCTCGAAAACTCGCGTGCATGCGACATGGTAATGTCCGCTCTTGACATTTTGTAGAATTCCCGGAAGGTCTGCAGCAGAGAGGCCCTGGCTCGAGTACATTGACAGGAGTGCCGTCTGCAGGTTGTCTGACGAGAAGTGGCGGTAAGGACACCCATGTGAATCGCCTGTACTCGGTTGATCGGCCGTGAGGATTTGCTGACAGCTGGGAAGCTACCCTAAGCGATATCAGAGCATTGAAGTCATGATATAGCGCACCTCTTTGCCGCATAGTTTGCTCGCTTTCCTTCAAGCCCATATGAGTGGCGAATGTTATACCTATATTCTTTGTTAAATTTATCGTCTTGTATATTGCTGAACGACCGTCGCCAGAACGCAATGGCCTCGTCGATAGAGAGCCCAAGGACCTAGGTCACGACCCAATAAGCATTATTGACGAGTAAAAACAGGATATGTCACGACCTTCAGGAAAAGACCGTATTGAAGTCTACCAAAATGTTTCAAATGTCGATCTCTTCGTAGGTTATCGTGTAGATTCCGCATGCACATCGGAAAGTGCTTGTGCGCTAGTTCGTCCACCATCTCTGCGGTGATTTCGTTCCCGTTGCCAGAGGTCGCAGTGCTCCATTCTGACGACACTCCAGCAAGGAAACCTTGCGATAGATGATTCAAAATGGGCACAATGCGCGTATCTTCATCAAGTTGAGGGAGAGCTTTTGCCGTCATCTGTGCAAATAATGAGTTCTTCTAGATGCCAAACTAATTGAAGGGAACAGACTTCTAGAGCTTGGGTGAGGGACGACTGAAACTCCTGGAACACGATGCTAGACGTCTCGCGGGAGGGCACGTATGCGAACCCTCTTTTCAGGATAACTCTCCTTTTCTCTACCAAATCTGGAACCCGCGTCCATTTCACCTATCATATGAGGCGTATGGATTGTCTCGTCTGGAGAAAGGTGCATCTATGCACTCACTTTATAGTATTTTTCTTCTCTCACAGCAGACTCTTTTGAGGGTATAGATAATACGGCCAGTTCTGCCGCGTACTGTCGTTCTTCCTCTTGCGAGACCTATTATCACGTGAAGCCATGTTCGTTAGGGATACACGCACACTATACCGGTATCCAAGCAAATTTCTTAGAGTTGAGGAATCTCTCCCGTTCATCACTGATGTCAGTGTCGAAGCGAACGCGAAAGAGTGCAGCCTCAGCCTTAACAAATCTCTGCCGAAGTTCCTCACTGTGCGAATGAATCAGGCTGATGCTTGCTAGCTGTTTACGGTATGAAATGACCCACGAGCGGCAGAATGCTAGTCTCAAGATGAAATGTCCGATGTGGTCCTTTCTCCGCTGTGCATCCGTGTCTACGTGTTTGGCAGCAGTACTATTCAGTGGGATATATTTTTCGCATTGAGGTAAAATGTGGTCCTTGAGTTCGTCATAGGTCCTGTTTCGAGCGAACGATGATTCTATCTCGGCCAGTAGGCGGAGGCGGTCAAGTGCACAAGTTTCGAATTCTTCGATAGTAATATCTCCCAATGGAGGTCTATCGTAACTAATGTTGATTTGTCAAAGTTGTCAGAGTAGGCTCAAAGGATAGGACAAAAAACATACAAGTTCAATCGATGGGGATATTGATGTATTGAGTGAAGATCCACCTCGGCGGAGCTTGTTTCTGTCAAGGTTGATGGCCTATCGCGAGCATTGAACATTCTCAAGGCAAGGGAAAATCGCTGTTATGCACAGAGACCAAGCAGATTGACGCGTAACAGGTTCAGTGAGTAGTACGACGCGTCGCGTATGCCACTATGCGGCGCGTTCTGTCACGTCGGGGACGCGAACAGTCACAGTCACATTAATATTGGACTTCAAGTACCCGGCATCGACACTTGTGCCACTTTTGAACCTGAAGTTTGTGTTTTCAAAGGTCACCTTCGTCAACTTGCCCGGCCACAGTTAGCAGCACCTCAAGTTGAAAAATAATGCGGAAATAACCATTTTTTACACAATGCATCTGGGCGGGGAGCAGCACAACGCACACGTTGCATGATGTACTAATACATGCTGTTGCAACGTTGGTCGAGGCATGTCTCATTTACTTAGTAGTTCGAGAGGTCGACAATCAAAAAACATATATATCCACAGTGCTACATATAACGTTAGTATACATTCTGCAAGCCCGCGATTGGAATGCACCATAGAGATACAGCCACAGCATAATACCAACATGAATAACATTGCGCACGACATTGTAGCATCTAGATCAAAAGGAAATACATATATCACTCCAGCTTAATCCTCGTTCTGCGAGGGTCGTCGAGAGCTCTTCCGGGGAGGACGAACGGTTGACGGCTCCGCCGACAATTCTGTAAGCTCATCTTCGAGATCAAACGTTACTCCTGGGCGGCGCCTGCGCCACGTCCCGCGATCCGCAAATTCAGCCTCCTCTTTGTTCCTCCAATCCTGAGTTGCAAGCATTGGGTCTCGCAAGGGTGGCGACAACCTGCCAGCCGTAGAGCTGCGTGTTGAACCTGCCCCGGTAATTACAGTATTAGCCTGTGTGTGGGATTAACATTTAACCAATGCAAAACAAGATATTGCCAGTGAACTCACGGCAGTTCCAGCTTCAGCTTCCACTGATGCAGCCGAAACTGTGCGATGATGCTTGGAGAGCAGCCTAAATGGCGTGAACATCCTCGATGGCGCCTGTGCTGGCGTAGCAGTGGGAGGCGCGTGGTACCTGTGAACACTTGAAGTCTCGCGCGGTTTGTCTCGGCCCGCAGTCGAAGCGTACTGCACACCATTGGGCGCAGCGTACTTGACACTTCCATTTGTAACCTGTGTATCAGGTGGAAGTTGCATGAATTGCGCTTGAGTAGGAGTAGTATGCATGTATGACGCCTGAGTTGAGGGTGATCGCACGTAGGAGGTTTGGTTTGGAGACGCCTGAGCGTAGGAAGGCTGGACGTGCTGGACGGATGAAATCACAGGAGCGGAAACCTTTCGCGGCCGCTGCTGTTCTGCAGGCCTGGATCCAGAAGGGGTTACTTTCGTGGTCTGTTCTTCCTGCCGCTTGGGAGGAGAGGACCTAGACCTGAACAGACTAAAGAAGCCGCCCCTCTTCCTTGCATCCTTAGCTGACTTCTCCTTCGTAGACTGAGAGACAGCAGGCATCGCAGTAGACGCAGTAGATGGTTGACGAGGTAGCATAGATGGCGCCAAAGACGAAGGTGTCAGTAGGAGATCCTGTTCATGGGCAGTACCGGATACGGCTCGCGAATCTGACCGAGATTTCGCATGTGCAGAGACGCCATTTGAGGACGCTGCACGGCTGGTGACTGTACTATACTGAGGCTCCGACGCCGTGCGAGTGTGACCAGGGCCTGACAAAGGTGTAGGATCGGGGCGGCGAGTCGCCGGCGTGAACGTGTTACTTCGTACTGGTGCTGGGGATGAGGGGACCATCTGAGGTGACCTAGTTCCAGGGGAAGGGAAAGCATATTGTTGTCGCCCAGTGATAGTCGGGGAGGGCGACGGCGCTGATCGAGGAGGCATACGATGACTTCCTGTCGTCGACATAGGTGACGGTCCAACCGGATGATCCTGGACGCGTGGAGCGTATTCTGGATGCTGCGCAGTATCTGGTCCAGCTCTAGATTGCTGGCCTGTGATGAACGCACCGCGCTGCGTTTCCGCATTGTCAGAGGGTGCTGAGGAAGCAGTTGGATGAGTAGCGGATCGAGAAGCGTATGAAGGGTAAGCATTCGAAGATTGCGACTGGGTAAGGACGGCAGGATAGGCTGACCCATTGGGGTATGTAGATGAAGCAGGCGAGCGATAACGGACGGGCTCTGGGTATCCGGAAGTCAAGTCATGATGTTGTCGTGAAGGGGTCGTGTCAGGACGTGATGTATTAACATGCGAGTGAGCAGAACTAGAAGGATTCATCGTGGGCTGCTGCGAAGCGCTCATAGGTGGGGAGGGTCGGGGCGCGGGCGATTGAGCGATGGTGTCATTGGACCCATTTCGCTGAGAATGCAGGCGAGCCGACGCAGATTGCCTCGGCGTGGAACCTGGTGGGATGACATTTGGCATGCCGGGTGAATGTGACACCATTTGTCCTCTGCGTGACGGAGAATATCCGGTCGGCGCAGCATGCGCCAATGCCGACTGAGCATACCGAGCGGGCGATTGACCTACAAATCCCTCTTGGTGTTGCATAACGGGTGGTGCTGAGTGAGGAGCGGGCGAAAAAGTGGCTTGAGCAACCATTACCGTCGGAGGCGGAACGATAGATGACTTCGGAGATCGCGGGTCGAACACCTGGCCATTTGCTTGAGGACCTGCAGCATACTGAACTGAAATGGTCGCTGAATGCGCTGAAGAAACGTTGGCGCCGGTGAACAAGGAGTCCGAGCCAGGTGGTGCAATAGTCGCTTTAGAGGCACTGGCTTTACGTCGCAGGCTACCATGACTCGCACTATATGAGGCATACTGCGGATCGGTAGGAGACATCCCGGAATACAGTGGTGCTGGTGAACGGGAGGCATCTGCGTGGAGATTCTGCGCAGTCCGCATTGCTGCCTGACCTTCCAGTTGACCGTGTTGTCCACCATCGACGGCCGTATCTTGGACTCCAGGTCTACCAACATGGACCCGCTCCTCAAGGCTTGTGCGAGAAGCATACGGCTGCTCTTGATACTGATGCTTTACATAATTTGGAGCAGACATTGTCGGAGGTCCTGTTGTAGCGGCTCGACGAGCAGCAGACGATGAAGGTCGCACTATCCCTTCAACCGACCGTATGGCTTGCTGCACAGGATGCAAGTTTCCGGCTGGCGGCGCATCAGGAGTATAACTATTGTACGGCTGATTCGTAACCACGGATCGAGGAATTACTTCGTGCGATACCTGGTCCAGGGGTAGTATTTCTTGTGCGCGATTAATCGTGGGTGTGCTTGACGACTTCGGGAGCATAACTGGAGTTTGAGGATCGGCAGGACCCTGACCAGCCCGAATACTGACTATCTGTGGTATGTATCGCTGAGATATTGGACCTACGGGTACAGTAGGCTGGGTCTGAGACAACCCAACAAAATGCGCTTGTGCCCCAATCCCAGGTAATGGAAAATTCCCCGCTAGGCGTCGGGGAGATTCCCGAGAATGTGAGGCGGACCTCGCCTGAAGCGCTAGTGAGCGTGTAATCGAATCGACGGATACGACAAGATGCGCACTTGTTGGCCCCATGTAATAGCAGCATCCTGATGCACTGCTACAGGATAGGAGGTCATTTGCTTAGAACTCGTCTCGTTAGTGGGGACGACTCTTGCATGGCCACTTGCGTCGGTATTTAAGCGGTTGACCTTCCGCTGCGTCATCGTCAATGTAGCGTGGATGTCAGACGGTGAATAGCTCACGCGCTCTCGTATGCTGCCTCGCTCTGTCTCACTACCTGAGGGGCCAGATGGTTGCCCGTCAACGTTGTAGTCTCGCGTGGCATGTCGTCGCTCAGAAGACCGTAACTGCGTTCGATACGTTATCTCATATTTGAAAGTCAAAGTTGAATTGAGACATACACGCTCTCTGGTAGACTGTTCCTGTTCACTGCTTGACATCCCCGAATCTTGACCATTCGGCCCAGCCAACCTGTCTCGATGTGAGCGATGAGGACGAGAAGAACTCCTCTCTCGGTCATGCGCGCGGACCTGAGCACTGCTGTGGGAGGGATGCTGTCCTCCATACGATACAGTCTCTGATTGGACTGCAGCTGTCGAAGCTCCAGGAACCGCACGGATAGACGTTTGGTCCAACGCATACGAATAGCTCGACTGAGATGGTTGATTCGCAAGTCGTCCCTGGGAGAAGATGAGAGGAAATTATGAAAGCCTGTAGGTGATATGCACGACACTTACTGTTGGCGGCCGATCATCCGTGTGCAGCACCCTCTGGGCGGTTTGCAGGCTTGAGGATGCTTGAAGAGCGGCAGAGTTTGCACGTTCAGCACTCCTGTATTCGTCCCTCTTTCTACCTTCGCGATCCTTTGACTTCTCCTTCTCCCTCTGCCTTCCAGGATCCCTGCTAGAGCGCTCCTTATCACGCTCCTTATCCCGTCGTCGGTCTTGATCTCGGTCCTTCTCCTTCACTCTTTCCATATCCTTTGAGCGCTCCTTCTCCGCCCTCCTTCGCTCCCGCTCCCGCTCCTTGTCTCTGTCGCGATCTCTCTGGTGCCGAGAGGCAGAAAAGTCGGACGTCACCTGCGGAGGAGCCAGCCAATGTGTCTGCGTCGAGGCCGAGCCCTGAGCAGTGGGGGCAGGAGGATACCCACTCCGCGAATGTGCAGGTGATTTGGAAGCCTTAGGCTCCTCCGCAAAAGCAATTCTCTCGTTAGATGACCGCGGGCTGCGCTTCTCTGTCTGTCGCTTGGCGTAAGTATGGTAGTCGTCAGTAGCATGGCGGGACCGCGAAGTTGCTACTGGCGTAGCGCCGGACGCTACATGGTTCTGAGATTGGGCGGAGGTACCATACGGGTTCGAGGGCGCGGCAGAACCAGTATGGTGCCTACTCGAATGTTTGCGGTGGGCAGAATCAAGTGCAGAAGTCGAGTCGACCACTCTGGAAGAGGTGTGGTGCCGCCGGGGACCGTCACCATGGCTCTTCTGTTCGATGTTGTGTCGCTGGGTGGTGGCCATCGTCTGGCGAGGCCTGCTCGGCTCCAACTCATTCTGTGGCCATTGCTTGGTATCGTCTCCCCTAGTGGCTGTAGGGACTGTTCGATTACGAGTGGTCATATCGAGTCATGCGTACAAGAAGTGGTTGCGGGGCAGGGAGATTGATGATGTGTGGTCGCAGGCGGAAGCTGGCAAATAAGAATGTGCGAAGAGAGAAGGAAAAGTGCGGGCATGAGGCAGAATCCAAGTGCTTTTACGTGCCAACCGTGTCGCGCGCCCGGCTCTGGTTGGTCGCCTCCCATCACCGGCCGTCCTCCACACCGTCCATTCTCGGCTCTCGCTCACCGACTCGGCATCATCCTCATCCTCAGCTGCCCGTCCGCCGGGACGCCCAACACTCTTGTTTCAAGCCTTCTCCTGAGTAACGGCTGAACTCAAGGGCAGAATGCTCTTGATACGTCAATTAGGCCAGCTCACTGGTCTTGACCTCGCCAGCCCATAACAGAAGTACAAACACATTAATATTGCTCCGAATATAGGGAGGGGGAGTCTCAGATTAGTACTAGATAGTGGATAACTCCCCATGTCGGGCGCTGTACTTAGTCAGACTTTCAGCTCGTCGCCGACCAGACAGGAGTAGCCCACCAGTAGCGTTGAAATTTGAACTAGTACGCATTAAAACACATATAGCATACGCATAAGAATAAACGATAACGAAAATGTAAGCTACGGGCGAGCGAGAACGGCATCCAAGACAATGCCGCTCATGTCACCTTAGCAATGCCAATAGGTAAGGAAATAGGACACGCCTCACTACCTGATCCCAATACGAGAACAAGTAGCCTCCAAAACCCGACGGCTTGTTCTTACACGACTTTGACTCATAGTCGACAGTAGACAGCGGAGAAGCTGGTGGAAGTAGTACTTCCCTGTCGAGACAATTTAAGGATCGTGTGGGCGAGGACCATTCGCAATCACCTCAGCAATAGTGCTGCAGCTTTACTTGGAACAGGCCAGTACGAAAGCAGGTGCGAGCATATTTCAAGCGAGGCATAGAGCACCAGTGCAACGAGTGTGGAATGCAAGAGCCGCAGACTAGCCACTGAGCATCGATATCCTTTTTATACCTTGTGCGGCACATGACTGAGGCGGAAATTTACCACGAACTGCTGAGGCAAGCGGTCTGGGAGCGGCTCTCTCCGGACAAGACACAGCTGCGACTGGTGCTCATCGACATCGTCTAGGGTATCGTTCCGTCTTCGTGCTTCACCACTCTCACGCACCGTCTTGGTACATTTTTCTGAGCACCCAGTTCCCCGCCTTTGCTTTCGCTCCGCTTGTCATGGTCCGTATGCTGTTTAATATGGCATCGGAGGAGCTAACTCGAGGCGTGCGTCATAGAGCGATACAATGGACGTCCTCGACGAGAAAGCCAATGGGGGACCGCCCATGGAAGTGGAGGAGGTCGTCTCGGTCCGTGATCGTAAGTCAGCCAATGCATCTTGGCGTCGCTGAGAGTCAACCGTCTCGGCACTGCTATCTCCATAGACATTGCATTCGCCGCGAAGCATATGCCAGACTTGGGTCACGACATAAAGGAGTTCAAGGTTTTCACTTGGAAACTCACAAATTGGAAAAAACTGGAGAAGAAGATCACCAGTCCTGAGTTTGAGTGTGGTGGACACAAATGGTTGGTTCTCCTGATGGTACTCGTCTGCGTCGTGCGCGCTCCTCATGATGCGATTTCGCAGGCGGATATTGTTGTTTCCTTTTGGTAATTCCAACGCTCCACCAAATGATACCGTATCAGTGTACCTCGACTATGCTGATCCTAAGAGAGCGCCTGAGGGATGGCACGCATGCGCACAGTTTGCTTTGGTCATTTCTAACCCACATGATCCGACAATATACACCGTTAGTCGTACGTATTCAAGCGCCTTTTAGGTGATGCTCTTACAATTTCTGAGCAGATGCACACCATCGCTTTATCGCTGAGGAATGCGACTGGGGCTTCACACGATTCAGCGAATTGCGCAAGCTATTCAGTGTTCAGGAGGGTCACACTAGGCCAACTATTGAAGACGAGTCGGCGAGCGTGAGTGTCTTTGTCCGCGTACTGGAGGACCCGACTGGTGTTTTATGGCACAACTTCGTCAAGTGAGCGCCTGCGTTCCTTTCTTGATGCTCGTCTGTTGATGATGGCGGATCAGCTACGACTCCAAAAAGGAAACAGGCTATGTTGGGCTCAAGAACCAAGGTGCAACATGTTATATGAACTCCTTGCTACAGTCGCTATTTTGCACAAGATATTTTCGCAAGGTAAAGTGCAGTGCTTGTCAGCAGGGCGCTTCCTCACTATTTAGTAGGCTGTTTATCAAATCCCTACGGAAGACGATCACCCTACGGAGAGTGTCCCCTTGGCACTGCAGAGAGTGTTCTATCATTTGCAAACGTCAGACCAACCTGTCGGTGAGAAGTTTATTCGTGAAGACTGGCATATGGGCGTATCTAACCTTTCGCATAATGACAGGCACCACGGAGCTAACGAAGTCGTTCGGATGGAAGTCATTAGATTCCTTCCTCCAACATGATGTGCAAGAGTTTAACCGCGTACTACAGGATAAGCTTGAGAGTAAGATGAAAGTGTGTCCCTCTCACTAATTCACACCTTCCGATATTTACACCTAGTGACAGGGCACAGCAGCGGAGGGTGCCGTGCAGAAGCTCTTTGTTGGTAAAATGAAGAGTTACATCAAGTGTGTCAATGTAGATTACGAATCGTCGAGAATCGAAGAGTTCAATGGTATATTGACTTTCATCGCTTCCGCTTTAAGATAGCTGATGCGTTTTCGCAGACCTTCAGCTTAACGTCAAGGGGATGAAGAATCTGTACGAGTCTTTCAAGGACTATGTAGCCGTGGAGACTTTGGAGGGTGAGAACAAATATCAAGCTGAAGGACTTGGCCTACAGGAGGCTAAGAAAGGCATAATATTCCAATCCTTCCCACCTGTTCTTCATCTGCAGCTCAAACGATTTGAGTATGATATACAGCGGGATGCTATGGTCAAGGTAAGTGCAGAATGCTGCGGAGTCGTTCTGGAACTCAAATGGACCGATTTCAGATCAATGATCGTCACGAATTCCCTTTCGAAATAGATCTTGACGAATTCCTCGATGAAGCAGCGGATCGATCTGAACCCTGGGTTTACAAGTTGCATGGTGTGCTGGTACATTCAGGCGATCTGCACGGTGGCCACTATTTCGCGTTGATAAAGCCCGACCGTGAAACGCGTTGGTTGAAGTTTGATGATGATCGAGTAACTCCTGTGACAGACCGCGAGGTCCTGGAAGAGAACTACGGCGGCGAGGCGCTCAATGGCGTGGTACCACCCATGCAACGTAACCAGGTTCGTGCTCTGAAGCGATTCACGAATGCATACATGTTGGTGTACATTCGTGAATCGGCCATCAATGAAGTGCTGGCGCCGTTCAAAGAGGATGACACGCCGCCTCACTTGAGTGAGTGTAATCTCGTTTACTAATGCGTCATGATCTCTAAAGTCTATTCAGAGAAGCGTCTTGATGAGGAGCGACTACAGCTCGAAGCCAAGAAGCGGGAGCGAGAAGAGCAACACTTGTATCTCACCGCGAAGGTAGTCCTGGCCAGTCGCAGTCAACGGTTCCGGAGCTGAATTTTTCATGGCAGGTCATCACGGACGAAACATTTGCCCATCATGAAGGCTTTGATTTGGCTACTTTTGATGAGAGAAACTGGCCCTCATCCGATTTGCCCACTTTCCGTGTACTCAAGAGCGAAACATATAGCATGTTCAAAAACCGTGTTGCCCAACATTTTAACTATCCTGAGAGTCAAATTCGGTTGTGGGTGTTGGTTAACCGGCAGAATAAAACTGTTCGACCAGACACCCACATCCCGGAGAATGAACCTGGTCTCAGTATGTGTCCAGTTTTTCGACATACGTTCGTCCTGTGACTAAACGGTTTCAAGCGGTTGAGGTCATCCGGAATAACATGGCGGTCAGGCAGCAGAATGACTTGAGACTCTATTTAGATGTTATTCCTGATCCCAATAAGGCACAGTCGTCTCCATTTTGGCGATCTGTTCCTGATCGCTCATCCATGACCAGCCGGATGTTCCTTCAGGATCCATCATGGTTTTCTTGAAGCACTTTGATACTACGAAGCAGACTTTGTACGGTGTTGGTAAGGTCCACGTACAACGGAGTAGCAAAGTCGGTGATCTTGCTTCTCTCATCAACGAGCGTATGCGATGGACCTCAACGACACCGCTGAAGCTATATGAGGTTGGTGTTATCCCTGCTTCCGAGTGCTGGCTGCTAAACGCCTACAGGAAATCAAACCCGGCATGATAGAGCTCATGAAACCAAGAATGACTTTCACGCAAAGTGAAATTCAGGACGGTGACATTATTTGCTTCCAGGTTGAGACCAACGAGAAGGAGTAAGCATCCACCATCATTGATGTATGCAGTATATTGATGTCTTACAGAATCCACGATCTTGAGAGCCAAGGACTTTACTCAAATCCCACACAATTCTATGATTTCTTGCAAAACCGTGTCATGGTCATGTTCCGGCCAAAGACTGAGGAACCAAGCCATGACCACCCAGAGTTCAACCTTGTCCTCAGTAAGAAACAGAACTATGATGCCGTACGCATTGTCTAATATTCATCAATTGTATCACAAACTGATCATGTATTACCAGATGTCAGCGAAGGTGGGTGAGTACCTAAGACATGACCCAATCAAGCTTCGCTTTACGACCACGCACGCCACAAACGGGACGCCAAAATCTGTCCTGAAACGATCGTTGAATCCAAGCGTATCAGAGATTATTTCTCCATCGTATGTCAACCCACAAACGACAGTAATTCTCTATGAGAAGCTCGACGTGAGCATTGTCGAGTTGGAGACCAAGCGGAGTCTCAAGGTCACCTGGACGGGTATCCACAACAAGGAGGAGTCGACGCATCCGTTTCTACTTCCTAAGACAAGCATGGTCCATGACCTTGCGGATCACCTTGCTAAGCAGGTTAAGCTGACCACTAGCGGTACGGGCAAGATTAGAGTATTCGAAGTTGCGAAAGACGGCAAGACACAGAAGGAATTCACTGGGTCTGAGATGATCGGCAACATTCCCGATCCGGTCGAACTGTTTGCGGAGGTCATATCTCATCTGTTCTGCCTTTTGCATTAACCTCATTGTCTACAACAGGAAGTTCCGAGCGAGGAACTGGAAGCTGATGATGCGGACAAAGTGATCAGCGTGTTCCATTTCTCTAAAGAGGTATCGCGGACGCATGGGGTGCCATTCCGCTTCGTTGTGAAACCGGTATGTCTATTTCGTTACCGTTCTTGATATGATCGTCAATGCTTATCGTCTTACAGAACGAGAAGTTTTCGGAGACGAAGAAGCGTCTACAAGCACGAATAGGCGTTTCGGACAAGGAATTCACCAAGTATCGCTTCGCTCTCATCCAAGTCGCAACATTCAAACAACCATCGTATATCGAAGACGGTAAGTGTTTTAACAACGAGGGCCGAACGCTGATCCTAATTTGCGCTCTAGACGATACAATTTACGACCACAAGTTCGCTCCAGAAGACGTCCTTGGCCTCGACCATGTTGATAAGTCAGGCAGGACAAGAGTAGGAGCAGGAGAGAAGGCGATCGTCATCAGAGGCTGATGCGGACTTTCCCTGCCTAGCTCTGTGATGGATCGGTACTCTGGATTGCCTGGTTTTTCGGTCGGCTCTGTTCTCATCTCATGTATCCTCACTTTCCATATTGAACTGTATATGACCCTCATAGACGAGAGCCCATGCAGCCCTCGGTCATGTTGTGATACGACTACTGCGAACACAAAGAGGAATAATGATTGTATATCTACTTGCGCTTTTTCATCTTTTTGGACGGCTGGAGTGAATTGTAAGTCGGTCGAGAACGGTGAAATGCGCAAGAACGCCTTACCGATTTTGGAGGCGAACGAGGAGAAGCAGGAGACGATGGGCTTTCACTATCACTGAATGCGCTCTCAGCGCCTGCACTGAGGGGGGGTGCTAATCCATTGGTAAACTGAGCAGAAACTGGGGTCTCCGGAGGTACCGGAGAAGTAGGCTTGTGAAGAGAAGCAGAGACAGGAATCGAGGGTGTTTGAGGCGCAGCCATCTGGGAAGCCCTCGACGTGCGACCATATTTTCGTTCTGAAGCCGACATGAAATCAGTTCGCGGATTCATAAGTGAACACTACGAACCTCTTGCTTGGCGCATGACAGGGATCTGTTCGACGAGCTGTCGCATCTTCTCGTTATGCATCATCTCCGTAGCAGTCTGGAAGATGATCTGGCCCCAACCCTCCACGTACGCATTCGCCTCCGTCATAACCTCCAGAACTTCTGCCTCTAGTTCCTTTTCCGCTGCCAGCAAGCTATTCCATAGGTCGTCACCAATAGAACCTTTCTGAAGGAGAATCTGGAGGGCAGGCTTGTCTTCTCTGATTCTGATGATGCGAGTGACGTTTGTCACGGCACGGCGGACAAGGGCAGCTTTGAGAAGTGCGTCGGACGCCGGAGGGTCTGTCTTTTGCAGAAGCGAGACATAGACATCCCGCTCGCGATGCGGGGGGAAGTAGGGTTCGTAGACTTTGCCTTTTGGGGGAAATTACACGTCAGCGTGTCCCTGTAAGGACGAGAGGGCAGAGATTCATACTTGCGTTGCGTCGCCTGTAAAAGGAGCTGAACACGAAGAGACTGCCAAATACGATGAAGACGTATAAGACGGGGACCACGACAGACGCCATGACGAGAGGGAAGAATGAAACAGTAAGGTTGTTGTGCTGGCAGTGGTAATCCCGTGTTCAATTTCCATATCGGGACGCAATGGTGCTACTGTTCGGAGACGCCTCAGCTGGCGTTTCTGAGCGAATCCGCCCATCGCTCGGGCTATTTTCTCACATACTTTGATCCTCGTGCGATCGAATTCACTGCAGCTATTTCTTTAAATCGCAATGTCTCGAGGCTGAGTGGAAATAAGCCGCAGGGCTGAGTGGTTGTGGCTCGCGTATGGTGTTTCAGATCGGATCTGAGACACATGCTTCGATCTCTCCCGCCGCTGGTCCTAAATGAGGAAGCGTCGGTGATGCGCCCAAAGTCACGAGACCGGGAGGAAGAAGACCGATACTCGCCGGTGCCAAAGTCGCACCCGAGTCGCATCCGACGTGGGCCGACGACTGGATCCCGCATCAAGCGCGACAGCCAAGTCCCTCCTGACCTCCCCAACAATCATTTGCCGGTCGTTCTATACCCACTCTACCTCCGCACATTACCCCTTCCCCCGCCCCCACATTCTCCTTCGCTAGCAGTTACTTCAGCAACATGTTCAGACGCGGTTCCGCCATAGCGAAGTCTTTCTCAAGGGGATTCGCCCACCAGCAGCGCCTCGCTTCTACTACAGTCCGTGCACATCTCTTCTTCCGACAAATGACCCACGTGTGCTGACAACTTGCGGCGCCGTAGACTATAAGGGAGGCACTCGAGGACGTCATTCCGCACAAACAAGCGCGCCTGAAGCAGCTTGTGGGTCCGGCATCGCTTGACACATACCTTGTGCTAATATTGCTTTTAGAAAGCGGAACATGGACAGGCAGTCATTGGAGATGTCAAGGTGATGTATACCGAATGTTGTCCCGGCTCACTTCATTCATTGTGAATAGGTTGAGCAAATCATTGGTGGCATGCGTGGCTTGAAGTCTATGCTCTGGGAGGCTTCTGTTCTCGATCCGATGGAGGTAATTCGGCGTGAATTCGTTGTGTCCGTTGTCTCATCCCATGTCGCGCAGGGTATCCGCTTCCATGGGCTGTCCATCCCCGATTGCCAAAAGGTGTTGCCTGCAGCTCAGGGCGGCAAGGAGATCATCGCAGAGAGCATGCTTTGGCTCCTTCTCACTGGAAAGATTCCCACCGAAGCTGAGACGCGTCAGCTCTCCCGTCAACTTGCGGAGAAGGGCGAGTTGCCCGATTACATCGTCAAGCTTATTGACTCGTGAGATCTGCACTCAGAACCCTGAAAGTATAGGTCTCATGTCTTACCTCCCGATAAGGCTTCCGCAGACATTACATCCCATGACACAGCTCGGTATGGGTGTTGCGGCTCTTAACCAGGAGAGTGCCTTTGCGGCTGCATATGAGCGCGGCATCAAAAAGAGCGAGTACTGGGTATATGCTTTGGAAGACAGTCTCAATCTCCTGGCACGCCTCCCAGCTCTCGCTGCGCGCATCTACCGCAACGTGTACAAGCCTGGGCAACCTATTCCGAACATTAACAAGGATCTGGACCTTGTTGGTCAGTCCGCCCAACAACGCGTACAAGCAGTCTGACTGATACACGACCAGGAAACTACGTCAACATGCTTGGATATGGAAATAATCATGATCTGACCGAATACCTTCGGCTTTACATCGCTTTACATGGCGACCATGAAGGCGGAAACGCGTCCGCTCATACCGCTCGTCAGTTCATTCTAGCGTGTCGTGGTTTCTCTGGGTGACTGATCTATTACAATCTCTCAATTAGACCTTGTCGCTTCTACGCTCTCTGATCCATACTTATCGTATTCTGCTGCACTGTTTGCACTTGCAGGCCCTCTGCACGGGTAAATCTCTCTCCTGCACGCGTGCTTTCGCGTCCGTCAAGTATGCATTAATGACACGTGATCGCGACAGACTGGCAAACCAGGAGGTGCTCAGATGGCAGATGAACATGCAGAAGGAGATCGGCGATAATGTTACGCACGAACACATCAAAGAGTTCCTCTGGCGCACTCTGAAAAGTGGCCAGGTTGTCCCTGGGTATGTGTCATACTCTATTGATTGAGTACAGATTGTGATTAAATACTTACCTCAGTTATGGGCACGGTGTACTGAGGAACCCCGACCCTCGCTTCATTGCTCTGCAGCAATTCTGCGAGACTCGCCCTGAGCTATTGAAGGACCCTGTCATCCAGTTGGTAAAGAAGGTAAATTCTATTTGGTTTGCATGCGAGCAGTGATATTGGACCATTAGCATACATAGACATATGATGTTGCTCCGGCCATCCTGAAAGAGCACGGCAAGGTTGGTTCAATTATCTCTGTGAGTCCCCCCCGGGCTGACGTGTTACACTCGCAGACGAAGAACCCATTCCCTAACGTCGATGCTGCTTCCGGTACGTGTTTTGATTTAATGTCTTCGCTCAATCCTGACACGCTGACGGCACGCAGGTTGCGTCCTGTACCACTATGGCCTTACGCAGTTCAAGGTGAGCAGTAGTGCGCCTTTGCCTTGTCTCCGGGCTGAATGAATAACCATTTTCCCAGTACTACACCGTTATCTTCGGCGTTTCCAGAGGTATGTGCGTGGTCTGGGATGCCGGACGGCAAGGCTCAACCTCTCCGCTATTCGCCGTCACTAGCATTGGGCGCCCTGACGCAGATCGTTTGGGCCAGAGGTATATATACGGCTTTCCCCATACGACGACATGGGACTGATTATACTTGTCAGCTCTTGGCCTCCCGCTCGAGCGACCAAAATGTTAGCGTCCAAACTATCTCTCCGTTTTTGATATCAAGATGTGACTCACGAATTTTGCAGCTTTGTCCATGGATGCGATCGAAGGACTCATCAAGAGTTCATGAGACCTATATTAATGGTATACGCAGTGGCAAGGGTGTATGTGTGGAATGTTGGGCTGAGCCTAGGTGCCCATATGTATGTACAACAATCACTTTACCAATGCGCTGAGTCTACACCATATCAATATTCACTGAGACTGAGAAACGAAGAGCAAAAGAGAAAGGACGGCTGAGATGAAGAGCATGCAACCAAACCAGTTAAAGAAGATGGAGAAAAGCGCGCTGCAAGCGCGATTGAAAGGTATCATAGGATGGCAGCACCGCTCACGCATCTGCCCAATGACTTGACCCCGCACAGAAATGTTCGATACTCTACAACCGAGCGAGTGTATCACTATCAGAAGCTTGGCCATCGGGTCGTGCTAAAACCGTCTGGGAGCCTGAGCCTGCAACTGCGGGGGTATGCCTGGACGGCCGGGGCCAGGTTGCGGGTATGCCCCACCAGGGGGATACATGCCGGGCTGTCCGGGTGGACCAGGTCGCGGCTGTCCTGGACCTGCTGGGGGATAGCCCTGACCAGTGCCAGGACCGTATCCTTGTGGGGGAGGAGCGCCGCCGAAACCAAGTCCGCGGGGGGGACCTTGCTGGGGATATCCATGGGGACCAGGGGGTGGACCTCCCCTGCCTGCGCCTGGTACGAGGGCGGCGGGAGGAGCAGGTCCGTGCGAGCCGGGCGGTGGCCCACGCATTGGTGGTTGTTGATGATGGTGTTGTTGGTGCTGCTGGTGTTGTTGGTGTTGCGGGTGTTGTTGGGGCTGCTGGTATTGGTGGTGTTGCTGATGTTGCTGAATATTTGGGGGTGCGTTATTGGGAGGCATGGCATTGGTACTGGGAGGCATAGTATTGGAACGCATGGGCTGCCCTGGGCCGACAGGTTGCGTAGGACCGGGGTCACGCAGAGCGACTGGAGTAGGACGTCCTCCAGGGCCAGCGGGAGGATGTCCATTGGGCATTGGACCAGGCGCCGACGGTGGCGGCGGGTTCTTCTCGGCTGCTTTGATAATCTCATCGCTGCGGGAAACAGCTCGGTCGGACATAGAACAGAAGAGACCCTGGACACGTACTCGAGAAGATTCAGGGCGGCACAAAGAACCACCCACTCAACACAATCTTCATTACCCTCGCCCAAAGTCTGCCATACCGCTTTCTCCTCGGGGGTCTTGCCCGTGATGCTGATGCGAGTCCCACCGCCATTCGGGCCCGGCGGGTTCTTCATAATCTTCCCAAATTCGATTCGCTTTGGGGGTATATTATGACCTGCATACGCGAAGTAAAACATGCTCCAAAAGGCAGCATTGGGATTGGGTTTAGATATCTGGAATAGTGGCAGATCTGCCGAGTCGGGAGATGGGAGAGCAAGCTTGTAAATAGGAGACAGAACGCCCGTATTAGTGATTGACCACTTGAGATTCCGAGAGGCTTCGCAGCGAACAACACGCGAGGAAGAGGTCGTAGAGTGGCCAGGATCGGAAGCAGTGGCCTTACCAGGCCCACCCTGACGCGGCGGGAATAACTTGGCCACGCACAGGTCCCCTTGCGGAGAAGGCGTCAAGAGATAGTTCTCGGTGTTCTATGAGGCTCCATATAAGCGAACATTAGGTGCTTCGGTCACAAGACTCACGAAGTTGGTATGGAGGTAAGAATATAGAATGTTGGATGGCTGTCCTAATAACGAAGTGCATCCGTATGTTAGCTGAGAAAGAACTGCAGAATGTCGAGACACACCATGCGGGGTCACGATGAGGGTTGGGAGGTGGTTCGGGATGGGGGGATGGTTCGGCGAGGTGTAGACCGTATAGATGGCTATACAGAAGAGTGCTCAATCGACGGTGTCGCACAATTCGAACTAAACATCATACCGGCCATAGGCACAGGGAAAAATTCGAGAATTGAAGGGTGTGGGTGTCGACCAAATAGCCTCGTTGGAGAAGGGAGGAGGTGCGAAGTAGATGCTGCGCTGCTTAAGTTAGTTCCAGACTTTACAACCGCCGGATGGCAGTAACTGACCACTCCAGAAATGGCAACAATGCGTTCTCGTCACGCGTGACAAACGTCACACCCGCTCACCTCGCAGCTTCATCGATTCTGGCAGCGGCAGCGACGCTTTCGACAGTGTCGCCGTTTGTCTCTCCTTCCTTTCCTACATATTTTCTTCAGCTCTCCAACTTAGAGGTCAGGGACTTGCCCCCGCAAGCTGCTCGCCATGAAGGGCCTCAAGAAGACCTTGGTCAGTACTTCTTCGCTCGACCTCCAGCACGTTGCCCTAACCATCCCCGTTGCCCCGCAGCTTAGGGCTAAATCGCAAGATTCAGCGTCGTCTAAGAACAAGGACCCCAAGCCGTCTGCTACCGCTATTGCTAACGCCTCTCCACCCCCGCCTCCTCCTAACAGCACCAAGCCCTTGCCCCACCCTTCTGCCGTTGCTAGCCTCAATCATATCAATAACCCCAGCAACCACTCACTTTCCTCCGCGAATGGCTCTTCCAACCGTTCCTCTGCCTCATCCGTGTCTCCCCCCAACAACGATCGTCGGTACACTACACCAGACAGGGCGTCTCCTGCCCCGCCTATCGTTGTGGTCAGCCCCGATGTCCCTGCCGACCAGTCTGAGCGACATTCGTTAATTATGGACTCTGCTGGGGGTCCCTTGACACCCCCGAGGACCAACTTAAATCGTTTGCGTCCCACTGGACCAAAAGACACGATCCCTATCGTGGGCAAACCCCCTCGGAAGCAGAGAAGCAGTCGATTTATAGTCACGGAGAAGGTTGAGATTGAGAGACTTCCGCCATTCATGGGTCAGTAGCTCTCACACCACGTCTCTTGCTGTCATACCGACTCGCACGCAGAGATATCTCCTAGCGAGCGCCCACAGCTTTTCATCAGGAAGCTGCATCAATGTGCTGTGTTGTTCGACTTCAATGATGCCAACTCAGAGTTGAAGGGAAAACAGATCAAGACTCAAACCTTGCATGAGCTGTTGGAATATATTACCACACAACGCGGTGTGATCACCGAATCTATATACCCAGAGGTAGTCAAAATGGTGCGTGTAATCTGTGTCAGGCGGGCTTTATCCGAGTAATTCCGCTTGAATTAGTTTGCAACAAACCTCTTCCGCTCTATACCCCCTCCCGTGAATCCCACAGGAGATGCCTTCGACCCGGAAGAAGACGAGCCAGTTCTGGAACTTGCATGGCCCCATCTCAAGATTGTATACGAGTTCTTCTTGCGATTTGTTGAAAGTCCGGATTTCAACACCAACCTCGCCAAGAAGTACGTCGATCAAAACTTTGTACTAAATCTCCTCGAGCTGTTTGACTCGGAGGATCCCCGCGAGCGCGATTTTTTGAAAACCACACTACATCGGATTTATGGTAAATTCCTCAATCTCCGTGCACCAATACGACGAAGCATCAACAACGTGTTCTTCCACTTTATTTACGAGTCGGAACGACACAACGGAATTGCGGAATTACTGGAGATCCTGGGATCCATTATCAATGGATTTGCATTACCGCTGAAGGAAGAGCACAAGACTTTCCTGATGCGAGTGCTGATTCCGTTGCATAAGGTGAAAAGCCTGTCTATGTACCACCCACAGCTGGCATACTGTGTGGTACAGTTTCTGGAAAAGGATGCTTCGCTCGCGGAAGAGGTCGTACTTGGTCTACTCAAGTACTGGCCGAAAGTAAATTCCCCTAAGGAGGTCATGTTCCTCAGCGAGATGGAGGAAGTTCTGGACGTTATCGACCCAACGGAATTCCAGAAGATCCAAATGCCGCTGTTCCAACAGCTCGCTCGGTGCATCAACAGCCAGCATTTCCAGGTCGCCGAGCGCGCGCTCATGTACTGGAATAACGAGTACATTGTCAACCTGATGAGCGATAACTTGGCAGTGATCCTGCCCATTGTTTTTCCGGCATTGTACACGAATTCACGGTCACATTGGAATCGGTGGGTCTTTTTAAACGAGAAAATATTTTATTCTTAAAACAAACAATACAGCACAATTCATGCCATGGTGTACAACGCCTTGAAACTGTTCATGGAGATCAACCCTGATCTCTTCGATGATACAATGCAACAATACAAGCAGCGCAAGCTCGAGTGCGTTAACATTTGTGGTGTATCCTTACCTGTGGTGTATAACGCTGCCTTTACAGTGAACGGCAACATGCTGTCGAACGGTTTGAGGAATGGCAGAAGTTGCGGGAAAAGGCAATGAAGAACTGCGGGGGTAAATTACCGATTGGATTTGTGGACATTCCGCCCACGCCACCACCACCACCGGTGGACGATGCCGATATCGTGGACTTGTCGATTGACTTGAACGCGGTATCAATCGACGCCGAGGTACCCCTTAGTGATTTGGATGAGTCTGGGATTGAGCGGGTACCGATGGCAGATCCAGGACTAGATGTGAGCGGGCCTGGCAATTATGTGCCGTAACCGTGGGGTTGACGGCTAGTGTCCATAGCGTCCTTTCCCTGAAATAGGCATCGAGCATTCGCCAGGGGGTACAGGTCTACACTCGAGGCGGAAGAGTGCGCTTCCGGGTAAGGCTCGGTCTGCTTTGCGTGTTATGTGGCCGTCTGACCAATTCAATTGGTTTTGAAGTCGATCCCACCGTTTTGCGAGATCTGCAGGCACATAGAAGTCTAGAGGATACAGTGCCGACTGGCCCCGTCATTGGAGCTCGTTGAATCTGAGTCCAGCTGGAGATGGATATTGAGGGCGAACAGGGTCGCGCACTCTTGTGCCATTCTTCTCATTGACAAACGAGATTTACACATATTGTTGATACTTTCCTTACTAGCGATATAACCACTCTCCTTTTCTGTTCGTTGTCGGATTGCCTAACGCTGCCGTGCATACTTTCGTGTCGTATTACATCGCGTTTTCTATATTACTGAGTGTGGACTGCAATGCCCGAACAAAGTCTCAGATCGCGAGATGAGCGTATGTAATCGGAAACAGAAGACAGGCGCTCAGCCTGTGCTCCCCGCCGTCAGCCCGCAGTCACCAGGTCGCCCATCTCTGCTCAGCTCGCCTACAGTTTCAGCACTTTCTCCCTACACGTAGCGTCGGCCGAGCAATAAGGCCCATCATCAACATGATGACGCCAATCCGCTATGTTTTTTTGGTGCTGGCCATCATCGTCAGTTGTGACTCCCTTTTCACAATGTGTCGCTCGCTAATGCCAAGGAGCAGGTTAGTCTTCACTTCATCCTCAGCTTCTCTCATGAGGACTACAACAAGGCTACCTCATTATCTCGTATCACCGGAATGTACAAGGAAACAGCACCACCGAAGACACCTCCAACGTACTACGATTATGGCCTCAGGAACAGCACGCGTGCCAATGCCACCTTTGTTCTCCTTGCACGGAACGCGGACCTATCTGGGATTGTTAGTAGCATGAAACAGATGGGTGAGTTAAGTGGTTGTATAGTGACCGATGCGGCACTGAGTTGCTCTCAGAGGACCGTTTCAACAAGCACTACAACTACCCGTATGTCTTCCTCAATGAGGAGCCGTTTAGTGAAGAGTTCAAACAGTGAGTGGGCCCTGAGATCTGCGGTTGCACGGGTTTGATCAAGCCTACCTTTCAGCCGAGTCAGGGTGTTGACAAATGCGCCCATTGAGTTTGGTCTTATTCCCCACGATGATTGGTTTCAGCCCGACTGGATCGACGAAGCGAAAGCTACCGCCGCTCGTGCAGATATGATGAAGAATCAGGTAATCTACGGCGGGGG